CAGTAGAGAGTCGAAAAACACAGTGACTTTGGTAAGCGAGAAGAAAGAGTGTGTGTGTGTGTGTGTGTGTGTGTGTGTGTGTGTGTGTGTGAGAGAGAGAGAGAGAGAGAGAGAGAGAGAGAGAGAGAGAGAATGTGGGACTGTGTGCACCTGTGGAGCTGTGTGTATTTACAAAGGAGGACTGCTTAAAATACTACTTATAAACAGGCTGGTTTTGCCCCACAGAAGGAAAAATGAACTCTTACACATAGGGACACGCAGTACCTCACTGATATTGTGAGGCTTAATTAGTTGTAATGCTTTGAGAGCCTGAGGGGAAAATATTTATTATTTATGTATGTTAATATTTTTATTGAATTACGTCATTGTTGTAATCACTTTCTGTGTAAAGCTTGCCCTAGATGCTGGGTCTGTGGACAAATACTGTTACTAGTATGAAGTTTGTCCTACCTGATCTGCAGAGCTCTGTTGTGCTAAAATGTTGTTCTGTAGTTCTGGTTTTGGAGGCCTTGTGGACTTTATTTATTTGGTTGGTATAGATCCTCATCTTATCTAATGTGTCAAACGCCTCTTGTTTTCTTTGCTCACTGAATCTACATAGGGTTAGGATACACCTCCCATCCTATCAAGTCTTCATTTACCACATCCTCTTACCAGGATCCAGCCATCATAAGCCCATATTATGGAAAGTGTCTCACTTTTGATTATATCAGGCTTTCAGAGAGTGCCTAGCAGCTGCTGTGTAACTGATCAGCTGCACAGAATTTTGTTTAAAAACATAAACAATAGCAACTGTGGAATTGGGCATTTGGGTTTCTGAGACTAGGCAATTGAACAGAGCCATTACAGGGAAGTTTTACTTTGTGGATAGGCTGATCCAGGGCTTTATCAACAGTGAGGCCAATTTATATCATAAATTTTCCTTTATAAAAGAATATAGCTTTGATGGATGTAAATAGTCAGTGTTTTGCTTCTGAATGAGCCAAATAGTTGTATTTGGGGTGGAGAAATCTCTTTAAGTGGAGTCTTTTTCCACCATCCCCAATGATGTGGTTATCTCCCAGAAGGATTGATAAATCTCTGCTCAGGTTCAGTCCTTGCTGAATAACTTAGCCTGGTCCACAGAGTTGACCCTTCTTTTAATAATCACTAATGATTAAAGCTACAATTTAGTCACGGGTATTTTTAGTAAAAGTCATGGATAGGTCACGGGCAATAAACAAAAAGTCACTGCCAGTGACCTGTCCATGACTTTTACTAAAAATACTCCTAACTAAATCTTAGGTGCTCGGGGAGGGAGGGCGCTCCAGAGGACGCTGCTGCTCTGGGGGCAGGGGGTGCTCTGGCAGTCACTGCTGCTCCTGGGGGCGGGAAGTGCGGCCCTGAGCACCGCCGCTGCTGCTCCGGGCAGGGGATGGCCCATGGCCCCGCCACTGCTGCTTCAGGTGAGGGGGCGGCCCAGGGTCCTGCTGCCGCACCTCAGGGCGGGGGAGTGGCTTGGGGGAGTGGCTTGGGGCCCTGCCGCTGCTGTTGCTCAGGGCTCAGTTGCTCCAGGGTGGCCTGGAGTGGGGGGAGGGATAGCTCAGTGGTTTGAGCATTGGCCTGATAAACCCAGGGTTGTGAGTTCAATCCTTGAGGGGGCCACTTGGGGATCTGGGGCAAAATCAGTACTTGTTCCTGCTAGTGAAGGCAGGGGGCTGGACTCAATGACCTTTCAAGGTCCCTTCCAGTTCTAGGAGATGGGATATCTCCATTAATTTATTTACTACTGCTGGGGGGGCGCGGCCCAGGGTGCTGCTGCTGCTCCCAGACTGCTGCTCTGGGGCAGCGCCCAGGACCAGCTGCCTGGGACTGCATTAACAACAGCCGCCGGAACAGCAGCCAACGTGGCCCTGGGGCCATCCCAGCTGCTCGGGCAGCCCTGGGGTCAGCCGCACCAGCCACTGTGAAAGTCATGGATGCCCTTCCGTGATCTTCATGAAAAGACTCACAGCTTTACTAATTATATGTGTTTCTATAGTGTTTCTATCAAGGATCTCAAAACATTTCCCCACATATTAATTAAACCTTAACAGCACGCTGGTGAAGTGTTAATATTGCTATTTTACATTGTTGAACAGAGCTACAGAAAGGGAAAGCTAACATTTTCAAGTGTACACTAAAGTTGTGTGTGTCTCAATTTTGAGTGCTCCATTGAAGACAACTAGGATCTACTTTTCAGAGGTGTTGTGCCACAGTAGCTTCCACTGATTTCAGTTAGAGTTGGGAGTGCTTAGCTTAGCCCCTCTAAAAATCAGGGCCAAGGTGTGGCAAGCTGGATAATCAGAATTAAAAGCCACTTTTGAAAATTCAAGCCAAAGTTATGAATTCAGAGTCATGTACTGGGTCATTTACAATGCTAGAAATAGAAGATGGGTTCTGGCTCCCAGAACTTGTTCTAACTACTAGAGACACTGCTTTATTCTTCTGCATATCATTCCACATGAGAAGACAGAAGTGCTTTTACCATGTGAAGGTCCATCTGGCGGGGCAGCCAAATCTGGTTTTACTTTCTATCTTTTGTGAAGGCAGTTTTGACTTGTAAAACAAATGTGAAAGTTCATTACCTTCAAAGGAAATTGTTTTAGATGGCAGAGCCTAGTATTATGTACATTTAGATTAAACAAAAGGATGGTTAGCTTCAATTTACAATACAGGATGTGCAGGAACCAAAATGTAAGGCCAGCTCTTTCTTTAATGTAGTTCTAATACAGAAACTGTTGCTGTGAGAATTTTTTTACAGTGGGGGAAAGCAGCCTAAACTGAGGAGCATCAGGACTGAAAATACTATCAGTGTGCTTGGTTTTGATGAATGACTTCAAAGCTATTTTCATCTTGTTGAACTCTCTCTAATGTTTGTATAGCAGGTTCAGGCTACACCTCAGCCCATCAAAGTGCCACAGTTCATCCCTCCTCCCAGACTCACTCCTCGTCCAAATTTTCTTCCACAGGTGAGTGTACCAAGAACAAGAAAGATAGGAGGGAAGTTGGCCATAAAGTAAATAAGGGATGTTTTCTTTTCATTTCTTACCTTCAAGATGTGTGAAATGAAACTACTGAAAGTGTAGGAGCAGAATCAGTCTGTCACTGCAAAATCTCTTCAATCATCACTGCTCAGTATTCAAGAGCAGGAGAAGAGAAATAGCTGAAGTCTTTTCTGCAGCTTCCATTCTTTATACCATTTGCAGCTGAGCGATACAGCTTTAAATTGTTTTACTTTGCACTGTTTTTAGAAAAGACACTGGTTGCTTCTTCACATTTTTTTTATGAAGCTTCTTAGACAAGGAGCAAGGGGGTATAACTGGGAGTACCGGGATGAAATTAAGAAAGGAAAACTTTAGGCTGATTATCAGAACAAGACATTGGGACAGTAAATTCTGTTAATCTGTGACATAGTTTCCAGACATAAATGAAGGCTACACCCTGTATTTTGAGATATTAAAGGTAAAATGGACAAGATACCAGAAAATGTATGATGGGAAACAATCTTTTATTGGTAGGGAGATAGATTAGATGACCTAGTGGATTTTGTTTCTACTTGCATTTTCTGTAACTATGAGATATTTGTATAATTGGGACTATGCCAGGTATAGCCAAAGATAACGATGGTACAGGACCAGAAAATATTTTGGACCTGAATTTTGTAGAGCTGTTTCCTAGCTTCGTACCTATGGATGTCTTCTCAAATATTATGCTTTACCATAGCATCAGAGAAAGAAAAGAGCAAGTGGCAATATAGGCTGTATTTACCAGTAGAGGCTTTGATATTTTCAGTGAGGGGGCAGTTTGCTGTTCATAGTCTAGCAGGACTAGTTTCACGGTGTAAAAGGTTGCACAATGTATCTGCGTAATGCATGAAGTTACCACAGGCCATGGTGACTTATTCAACATCTCTGAAGACTTTGTTTTAGCTCTTGGGTCAGCTGTTTAGATATTAGATCTCTTGGCCAATGTAAAAAGTGCTACAATATTGAAAGCTGTGTAAAGCTTTTGAAACATACTTTCAAAACCGGTTGCCTAAGTTGCTCCTGCAAATATTGCATGGACATCTGTTGTCCTCACAAAACCAAAAAGTAGATTTGCACGTACAAAACAGTTAGCATTAAACATGTAAATGACTATTTGGGCATGCAAATGTGCAGAAGCAAAAGCTGTGTGTGCAAGTGTTATGGATGGGTTTTATGCAAGCAAATTGAAAATGTGGTTCTTTATTGTTGTTGCACACTTATGACACTATTCTAAAAATGTGTTCTGTAAGAAATGTAAATAGTTTTGGAGAATTTAGACAAGCTGAGTCAAAAGATTTAAAACAGAGAATATATTCAATAAATTCATTTTAAATATATTTCTATTTGTCTGGGATTTTTTCCTTGTAGGTTCGACCCAAACCAGTTGCCCAGAATAACATTCCTATTGCCCCAGCACCACCTCCGATGCTTGCAGCTCCTCAGCTTATTCAAAGGCCTGTGATGCTGACAACAAAGTTCACACCCAGCTCTTTACCCACCTCACAGAACTCCATACACCCAGTTCGTGTTGTTAATGGGCAGACAGCAACCATAGCCAAAACTTTCCCTATGGCACAGCTCACCAGCATTGTGATAGCAGCCCCAGGTACCAGGCTCGCTGGACCTCAGACTCTACAGATCAGCAAACCAAACCTTGAAAAACAGGTACAGATGGGCAATGTGTCTACTAAATGCTGCAGTTCTACTTTTGTGGGTTAATGCTGCCAAGGTAGAGAGGACTAATGACCATGGGGGGAATTTTCAATGGAGAATTAAATATCAGAGTCCCACTAACAGTGACCAAATATTAATAATATAATGACTTTGGAGAGGGGGTTAAGAGACAACCCCAGTTCATAGGACTGAAAGTTTGGCGTTCTTTCAAAGGCCCATGGGAATCATTACAGTTCTTCAGTAATTTGGTGCTCCCCCTACTGGATCAGCAGAAAATGTTCATCTGATGTGTGCTGACATCTGTGATGATGCTGACACACAGACAATATAGTAAACGAAAAGCCATGTTCATGTCAGGTCCTTTAGAAACACAGGAACAAAATATTTTTTTATTTCTAAACTTCTTTAAATTATAACAATGGAGAGTAGAGGAATAAAAACTATTCAAAATATTTAACAAGGCCTATTTAATAAGAGAATCCGGCCGCATTTGATTTGATGCTGGAGCCTGTTGATTTGTGTTCTCCTCGGAATCCCCCTTTAAATTGCAGGGAAACAAAATGGCCAGTCGGCTTCTTGTGGTTGGTCAAGACTCCCATGGCTGACCTGAGCTTGGATGGATGGAAGAAATGCCTCAAAAATAGAATTTCTAGATATTTAGTTATTAAATCTCACTTCAGGAAAGAGCAAATGGGGAAGGAGTCCTAAAAAATAATGCGCAACTTCAAATAAAATGATTTAATTGGGTCATAAATGTAGACTCTTCCAATTCAGTTCATGTGACATCTTTGGTTTCACTTCAAAAACTTTCTTGTCAGTTAATGTACCTTGGAGTTGTCCATGAAACTATGGACAATCTTGTGCAAGAAAGATGCACTATCGCTTCACTAAATTCACAGGGGTAGGTTGTTGCGTATCTTTTAAGGCAGATTTACAAGCTGTGCTCTGCAACAATGCATGTCTGTTACCTGTGAGCTTGATGAATCCTTGTGCTGCATATCCACAGTGTTGCATCTTTGATGTCAACATCATTTGTTTATTCTTTAAAGAACTGCTGACAGTCAGGAAAACTTTGAAAAACATTCAGAGACAAGTAACAATGATTTAATTATCTGTGTACAGTCTTTTGGTATGATTTCCTCAATCTTTATGATTAAGGATGTTTACACGAAACAAAATTTGTGTCTCTTCAGCATTCATCTCCTCACTCTTGTGAGGAGTTTGTGACATCACAGCCATGCCACAAACTCAGGGTCATCATGCTGGTGATTGTGATGTTGAGAGCTGAGGATTCTGACTTCGGGGAGGGTATAAACCACAGGAATATCTGAGTTCTTAGGAGTCACAGTGCCAGTTTTTAGGCAAATGTTACTCATAATGACAAATGACGGGAAAGAAATGGAGAATGTATATACCATTCAGAATAGGTTATAAACAGGGGCTTTTCATTGAATGATTTTCCATAAGGCTTCAGCTGGTCTGTAATCAATCCACTTTTCATGCGCTTTATAAATATTTCGGCCAAAAATGTTAACTGCAGGATGACCTTTATCACTTGTGTGGTTGTTTGATTGGGTTGCCTGAGTTGCTCTGATGCTGCACGTTCTTGGGTTTGGGCCTGTTCTGTTTCTTTGCCAAAGCAGGACACATTGTTTAAACTTCCCTCACATTCCTGGAGAAAATCTCTTGTTGGGGCACTGCCAGTTGGTTCTACAACTGTTTTTCCCATTGTTCTACTAAACTGAAATTACTCATTTCACTTAGTTTTTCCCTAACTAAAAAATGCTTTCTGAGTATTGAGTTGTACTTGTTTCTTTTCAGACTATTAAACCCCATGTGGAAGCAGAGGAGAAGCAAACAGAGAGTCGTACCGTTACTCCACCAGCTGCACCCAAGCCAAAACGAGAAGAAAATCCACAGGTATCAGAGCAAATTCGGTGTTCTCTCCCTAGAAGAAAAAGGAGGCATTCTATCTTTCAAAAAACATCATAAACCAAAATGGAAGATAGTGTATCTATTTGTTTCCTCATTTCCCCCTCACCCTACACAGACACACTCTCTTTCTCACACACAATTTCTTTTTTTCCCTGTTCCAGTGGTTTCCAGAGCCCCTACCTGGTGGCTCACAGTGTTAAATACTTGGGAATCAAACAATGAGGATTTTGTTTCTGTGTAACCAGCAATGTTTAACTGGCAATTGAACTGTGCTGGTATCTGCTAAGGGTCAGTGATGATGGTTTGGGAGTTGAGACCTTGAGTCTGTTCCCAGCTCTGCCAGTGATTTCTTGTATGACATTGTGGAAGTTGCTTCTCCCTGTCTCTGATTTTTTTCTCCACATCTATAAAATAGAGCTAGTGTCTCTCTTTGGAAAGCAATTTGAGATCTATAGATGAAAAGTGCTATATAAGTGTAAAGAATTATTAATATTTTCCTTATTTGGTTGGCTACCAACTGACTTTGGGCTAAATGAAGTTGCTCCTGATAATGATTGTAACTGGAATGAACTCTGTTCTCTCTTTCTCTCTCTGACACAGAAACTTGCCTTCATGGTGTCTTTGGGACTGGTTACACATGACCATCTGGAAGGTAAGAAAAGTAACTGAGAATGGTTCCTGTGCTCTCCTGTTTCTCAGCAATTCTAGATTGGAAGTAAAAGTCCCAAATGTTCTTGTGTGATGTGCATTCTTTTTTTCCTTGCACCAAGGAACAGATCACACTTGGGCTATGCTCATACAGCACTTTGGGTTCAACTTGTCCCTGCCCCCTCAGTCCCTTGTTAGATGGAAACAGGCAGTTGCTTAGGTATCTGAGATCGATGGTTGGGGAGGCAGTGCATGCTCTGCTGTCTGGGAGGAAACTGTGAAAAAACTAATTGACTGTTGTGTAGCCCTTATGTGTGAAGAAGTTACCTAATAGGTCAGTGTACCTTAACCCCTTCTCTGGATTTCTCATTTCTGTAAATTGGTGAACATGCTGGGTTAATGGATTTCAATAGTTCTGATAATTCCTTTAGTCCTTGCCTACAATGAAATCAAGCCTGAAGCTACATAAATTCAAGGACTTGCACATCACTGTACTAAATTTAGCCTCAGCAGAAGTCCATTTTTATTTTTATAATTTCAACAGATAATATATATGCTTATTTTTAAGCATTTTTTCTATTATTTATTTATTTAAATTTTCATAGTTGCACAAAATTATGGGTTCTGAGTAATTTTTTTCCATTTTTATCTATTTGAATTTTCACAATTGTGGAAAATTGTGGGTCAGACAACTAGTATTTAATGACAGTAGAAGTTGAGATTCAATAATTTAAAGCTTTATAACCATTAAAACACAAATTCTCAACATCACATCAAAGTATACAAAATAATTATCCTTTAGTCAAACTCTAATAAGTTTTCATTCAGCATTTTTCTTACTTTGCCTATCTGTAAATTTTGATTATCATCAATGGAAATTTTCTTTTTGTTAATTAGTGTATGTATAGATGTTTTTGACATTTACTGATTAAAAATCAAATTCTTCAAAGCCTAACTATATTTGCCTTAAATAGCAATGAGGTTTCCTCACGTGCTACTGTATTTAGGTTCCCAATTATGTTGAACTTCACTATAAAATATCTGTGTTCAGATGCTCTGATTTGGGAGGGGCAGCCAACCATTTCATAAACCAATCTGGCAGTGTATTTATTTTTACCATTATCTATTCATTTTCAAACCCAGGAGTGTAGCAGAGATGGCTATGTTCAGCATTGCTGGCTTCCCATGGAAAGCCTCATAGTTCGAACTTACTTGCTTGCAGACTATATAACATAGACATAATTGTATGCTTTCTGAATCCATGGTTTCTAACCTGAAAATTTCTTTTCACAAGAAATCCAAAGTAAGAGACAAGAGAGGAAAAGAAGAACAACAGCAAATCCAGTGTACAGTGGAGCCGTTTTTGAGCCTGAGGTATCAGTCTCTTGCTGGGGGGGGAAGCTGGCAATTTCATTCTGTACTGCTGCCATGTTACTACCTACTAAGATCTCTGAAGCCCAGCTAAACAGATAGGCTGTCATTATAGTTTGAGAGACCAATGTAGTGATGTGACCCTCAGGGTTTTATATAGTAAATACAGTTATTTCTGCTTAATACTTCTCTCCCCCTCCACCACCACCCGCATTATAAACCTGGCATTAAATAGCAGTGAGTATTGGTCCTGCCATTAGGAGGTCAGCTTGTGCACTGGCCTGCAGCAGTCCAGATGTCAGAAGCAGAATGGAAGGCTAACATTTCCAAGGATATGTTCCCAACAACAGGACAGACATTAAGCCCAGTTTGTACTGTACTGCTCTGCCTGAGCTCTTACAAATTTAATTGTTACAAAAAATTAGCCAGCTAAAGTTGTTTTCCTCCCCTTTAAAGCGTAAGAAGAGTGCAGTCACATACCTGAACAGCACAATGCATCCTGGGACACGTAAAAGAGGTGAGTTATTTTCAACAATGCCATCTTGCTGTATGCTTATTTCTCCGTCTCCCATCAGCAGTCCCCTTGAGGACAGAAAGAAAGTGAAACAGGGGGGAAGGATTTTGTGATACTGAATTTGCACAATAAATTCCAATGGTAAATAAGGACCAACATTTCTGGGGTTAGCGTAGCTGGCTTTATGGGGCAGGGTCAAGGCAACATTTCAGTCTCACTCTACACAATAAGACAATATACAGAACAGAGTGCAAGATAAATGTTGGAACACCATTTAATGGAAGAGAGTTGCTGCCAAGGTGCTTTTAATACTGCCTAAGCTGCAGTGCTACTGACAGGAAAGCAAAACATTATGGAAAAAATGTATTTAATCTTACAGGAAGGGAAATTCAGAGTGTGAAGAGCTCATTCCCCACAATGTGTTTCTTTTCTAAGGGAAGGATCCCCAAAGCATTTTCACTTCCACAGGGGAAACTTCCCACTTACCTTAAGCACTCTTCAGAAACAACTACCATCCTGGAACCTTAAAATGCCACCTTGTCCTGCAAGAAAGGAGGGTTTTTCTTATATCTACTAAGTGTTATTCAGTGGAATTCACCTACAGAGCAGCAGTTCTTGTGCAGAACAGGTCACATTTTAAAACTCTTACTTTTAAGGATAAAATTGATCTCTTGGAACATTACAATAGCGCTTAACTGTTTTGTTCTCTTTCTGTGTGTGGTGCTGAATATCAGAGCTGAGATCTGCCATGCAGATCTGAAAAGAAAATCTTCCCCTAATGGCTCTTAATGGTTTCCAACATGGCTTCTCTGCTCTTTGTTTTGCTGTCCAAAAACAAATGACCAAGCAATCTAGCATCATGACCACCCAAGAAATCAGCAAGCGTGCTGTATAGTTTGTGATTAAAGTCAGAGGTCTATGTATTCCATGTGTGGGGTGATGAACCTGAGACTGTGTATGCAGCAGTGTATTTGTGTGTGTGTGTGTGTGTGCATGTGCATACGTGTGTAACAGACTAGATGGCTCAGGATATTAGTGATAGAATTCATAACATTTCACCTCCAAGTTATTGATCTGAATCTGTCCGAGGATAGTAGTGACTGAAAATCTTTAGTGAAAATCTTTAATTATTTGGTGGCTGTTTGATGGGCTAGATGAGCTGATGATCCCAGTCCAGTCTGTATTGAACAGGTGCCTACATGACACAAACCATGATCATAACTAGCACTGATCATTTCCAATGTCTGTATTCTTGGCCAAGAGGTCAGGTATTCAAATGACCCTTGCTCTCCTTGAGGCAGCCTCTTCAGTGCAGGATGGAAGCACATAGGTGGGGCTTTATAGATAAATTCGCACTTCTGCTGGCATGCTGTCTCTGAGTAAATAAAGGACATCCAGTGCCACCTTCCATTACCTTAAATATGTTTTCAAAAAAGAAAGACAAGAAAACAAGTGTGTGTGTGTGTGTGTGTGTGTGTGTGTGTGTGTGCACGCATGCACTGTACATAAGGATATGTTCCTTCATATAGTAATGTTTCCAATGACCTAAAAATGTTAATTCCATTATATAACATTGTGTGAAGAATTACTTATAGATTTTTAAATGCACAAGATTACATATATGTATACATGGTATCTTCTTAGACTGTTTTTGCACAATGCTGTCTTCCTGTCCTTATTTTCATTCTCTGTTGTGACCCCTCATCAGCACCAGATTAGTAACATATTTTCAAATGGGGTGGACAAGATTTGGGGCCTACAGTAGTTTTATTATTTGAATTAATATAGCAATATATTAGGAGGATAATTTGTGCAGCCCTGTGCCCTTTAGGGGTTTGGTTTAATTCTAGTTGCTGTTGGTCACATCAAAAATTTCGGCTATGGACATCACCATCAAAGATTCTTTCCAAGGATGTACATCTCTCTGGAAAGTATCTAGAACTCAAGTGCAAGGTGCAGCATGTACTGGGGATAGCCTGGCAATCTGTAAATACTATTATAAGTAGGACCCTACCAAATTCATGGTCATGAAAAATGCGTCACGGACCGTGAAATCTGATCTCCCACTATGAAATCTTTTTGTGTGCTTTTACCCTATACTATACAGATTTCATGGCAGAGACCAGCGTTTCTCAAATTGGGGGTTCTGTAGGGGTGGTCGCAAGTTTATTTTAGGGGGGCCACGATATTGCCACCCTTACTTCTGCGCTGCCTTCAGAGCTGGGTTGCCAGAGAGCAGCGGCTGGTGGCCAGAGAGCAGCAGCTGGTGGCTGGGTTCCCAGCTCTGAAGGTGGCGCCTCGCCAACAGCAGCGCAGAAGTAAGGGTCACAATACCATACCATGCCACCCTTACTTGTGTGCTGTTACCTTCAGAGCTGGACGGCCAGAGAGTGGCAGCTGCTGATTGAGGGCCCAGCTCTGCAGGCAGCAGCGCAGAAGTAAGGGTGGCAGTACCGCAACTCTCCCTACAATAACCTTGCAACCTTCCCCCCAGAACTCCTTTTTGGGTCAGGACCCCTACAATTACAACACCATCAAATTTCAGATTTAAATAGCTGAATGAAATTTAAATGAAATTTATGATTTTAAAAATCCCATGATTGTGAAAATGGCCAAAATGGACTATGAATTTGGTAGGGCCCTAATTATAAGAGCTGCGTAATTATTTCTAGATTTTTATTCCTTGTGATCTTTCCAGATCTGTAGAGTAACTTGGTACACCTCTACCCCGATATAACGCTGTCCTCGGGAGCCAAAAAGTCTTACCACGTTATAGGTGAAACTGCATTATATCGAACTTGCTTTGATCCACCAGATTGTGCAGCCCCGCCCGCACGGAGCACTGCTTTACCGTGTTATATCTGAATTCGTGTTATATCGGGTCGCGTTATATCAGGGTAGAGGTGTATGTGGAAAGATGGGGAGAGTGCTAAGAACATATACTTTTACATAGTCGTACAATATATAGCTAATATCTCAGTTGTATGAAGGCTGTTCTTAGCAGATTTTGCACTTAGTGCTTTTCTAAAGGAGTCTAAAATAGATATATATGATTGGGGCAGTAGTACCTGCCGTTGAGATAGTGGGCATAGGTCTGAGATGGAAGGTGCTGACCTATAAGAAATGTGGGGAAGAAAAGGAGACTTGAAATGGTGAGTGCTGGCTATGAGAGAAGGAACTTTGGGTAGGTATATGCTGGCATAGGATAGATAGGGAGAGGTGGGATGACAGTAGAAAAATTAAACTAACAGAAATCATTACAGCCTGTCTGTGGGTTTGGTGCCAGCACGATTTCCTGATAACTGGACGGTCTCATTGCTAGGAATGAAAAGAGGCCCCATTCTGCACTTGGGAGCATGACTCTTTGACCCTTAGCAGAGCCTGTTTTCACACTCCTCTGATATGCATCTCTCAAGCGTTCATTTCTTGAAAAATTCCACTTGTACGTTTCTAAAAAAAAATGTTTAAATCTTTGCTTCTCTTCTTCCACTTGTGACTCCTATATTAATTTCCTCTCTGTGCTACATCATTTCCTTTTTCATGCTAGCCAATGAGGACCACTGGCCAAAGGTATGTAAGATCATTTCCCCCCCCTTTTTTTTTGTTCCCTTTTGTTAATGTGTAGGTCGTCCACCTAAATACAACACGGTGCTGGGGTTTGGGGCTCTGACCCCCACATCCCCTCTATCCAGTCATCCTGACTCCCCTGAAAATGAAAAGACAGAGACCACATTTACTTTCCCCGCATCTGTTCAGCCTGTGTCCCTGCCTAGCCCCAGCTCCACAGACGTAAGTAATTCTTGGGAAAGGGTTGGCTTTTGAAAAGATGTGTAGAATGAGCCACACTGGAAACTGCTTCAGATTTTGTTTCTTTAGCGTTCATTCCTTGAACACTGTTTGTCATGGTTCAGTGCAGTGAAACAGGCCAATGTTCTTTTACTCCCCAACCTTTCACTTTTACCTTCTTGTGCCTGTGTTATAGTACTGCAGATATTTCCTGTGACAGTCAGTCATTGATTGGGATGTTGGGATACACTGGGCATGCTTAGAGGAGCATGTTTTCTCAGTGTCTAGTGTCTGAGATCTTGTGTGACTGAATTCAATCTGTATTCCAGTGAGGAACCGGGAAGGGGAGAATGAGTCCTATTATTTAGAGAGACCGTAGTAGCAGTAAGTTGCTGGTGTTTCTGTAACAAGAGGAGGAAGAGAAGGAACTTCTTGGCTCGCCCAGATAGCTGGGCACAATGTTCAAAGCACTGATCACAAGAGGTTGTCATGTCCTGGTGTGATTGAGTATACTGCCTCTGCACTCCCCGCTCTTGAGACTTTTCTTGAACAAAATCTGGTTATTCTGTTAGCATTTCTAAAGCAGGAGATAAAAATATTGTATTTGTCAAAATGCAAAGATTTCCCCTTCACAGCACAGCCTCTTTTGAGTAACTTTCTGAGAACCTTCAGATTGTCTCATTCTTATTCCTTGCAAAAAATATGGTGACAGAATGTAAAGGTCAGATCTAAACCCTAGAAAGCAAATAAATGAAGTAAGGTTGAGTTTCCTCCCATGCCACTGATCTATCCTTCATTACCCTAAGTGACACTATCACAGTAAACTACAATTTCTCTGAAAAGGGTGACTGCAAGAAATAAGAGAAGGCCAATGTAACTTCACCTGGGTCTGCTTAAAGATCTCAGTATAAAGGAAATAGTGTAGTAGGACTATACTGGGAATAGAGGAGTGAGACAACGAAGTACACAAGAATGCTCAGCAGTCAAAGTGCACTTCTAATCTGAAAAGTGACTCTGTAGACGTTTGTCTTTCAATTACTCCTATCATATGGGCTCAGTTTATAGGTAAAAAGATGCTTTTTTTTCAATTGCTAGTGCTGCAAACTACCCCTGGGATCTGAGAGTCACGGTGGACTCTTTCCTTTGCATACATCATCAGCTGTAATAAAGGTTCTAAAGTCCAACATTGGTCCTCAGTAACTCCTGTGCTGCCCCATTGCCTCTTATGCACTGATGTAACTGCTTGGAACTGTGAGTAGCCAATTCTACTGACAATGCACAAGATGGAATAGAATCCAGTTCCCTCCCTCTGAACTCTACCAGCTCCGCAGGACTAACTGTCAAAACGTAATTTAGTTACTAAAGTTGGCAAATGCGACCCTGATACACAGGGAGCACATCTGTGGAATAAGCAGGGACCCTTTTTAAAAAGTCACTTTTCAGAGTGGAACAGTATTTGAATATCAAAAAAAATGTCCTGACAGTCAGGTGCATGAGTCTGTGGAACAGACTCCTGAAGGAAAGGTGCAGCATTTCCATCTTTTGGGACGAAAATGTACAAACCATTGGAAATTATGCTGTAGAGAACAATTATGCTGTGCTGGCTCCAAGAGATGGACTGGTAACATACTAGGTCTCTTCCATCTCTGATTTCAATGATTTTTTTTTACCAGCCTTGTGACCAGAGCATAACAGTTCTCAGAACAGTGTGATGTGTTATCATGTGTATTTCAGTGCCTAACTACCACAGGCTAAGTTAAGGACAGAGTATTATTCTAGTGTTCCCAGCCTGATTCTGAATTTCTTGCCTTGGTGAAATTGCTTAATATTTAAGCTTAGTTTTCTGTGATTTAACATACTTTTTAAATTAAATGATAGTTTTTAAAAATACAAAGACTCTAGAGGAAACATGCAAGTTGACACAATAGGTGGTTAAAATATATAACACATATGCATACACTTGGATAACTTGTTAAAATTATCTCTCAGTTCTGCATGATATAGTGTGTCAGCAAGTTAGCACGGCTTTCCCCCTGGAGTAATACAAATCTGTTTACTAAAACACTTACAGACAGGTTACCCAGTCTGTGCACAAAGGCAACATTAAAACATTAATATTGTTGTTTTAATTTTTAAAAAGAATTCAGTCCCAAAGACTCCCCCAGTGCACATTTTCCAACAATTGAGCTAGACAACTTTGATTTTAAAAGGAAATAGATACCACAGCGATAGATGCCTTTTGAAATATCTAAGACCTATGAATTCTAGGAGCAGAAAATGTATCAGAAACCACGATACATGTATCACGAGTCCTTTATCTTAAAAACACCCCCATTGATTTATCTTAAAATATCTGTACTTTCACATTTACACTCACCAGCATAGTGACAGCTATTCAATGTATGGTCATTGCATAGCATATTTCGTAGAAATTATAATCATTAGGGCAGTCGATTAATTGAAGTTAACTCATGCAATTAACTCATAAAAAATTAATTGTGATTAAAAAAAATTAATCATGATTAATCTCATTTTTAATCACATTGGTAAACAATAGAATACCAATTGAAATTTATTAAATATTTTGGATGTTTTTCTACATTTTCAAATATATTGATTTCAGTTACAACATAGAATACAAAGTGTAGACTGCTCACTCTATTATTTTTTTTATTACAAATATTTGCACTGTAAAAATGATAAACAAAAGAAACAGTATTTTTCAATTAACCTTGTACAAATATTGTAGTGCAATCTCTTTATCGTGAAAGTGCAACTTACAAATGTAGATTTTTTTTTGTTACATAACTGCACTGAAAAACAAAACAATGCAAAACTTTAGAGCCTACGAGTCCACTCAGTCCTACTTCTCATTCAGAAAATCACTAAGACAAACAAGTTTGTATACATTTACAGGAGATAATGATGCCCACTTCTTATTTACAATGTCAACAGAAAATGAGAACAGGCGTTCGCATGGGACTTTTTTAGCCAGCATTACAAGGTATTTACATGCCAGATATGCTAAACATTCGTATGCCCCTTCATGTTTCGGCCACCATTTCAATGGACATGCTTCTATGCTGATGACCCTCATTAAAAAAAAAAAAGTGTTAATTAAATTTGTGACTGAACTCCTTGGTGGAGAATTGTATGTCTCCGGCTCTATTTTACTCAGATTCTGCCAAATATTTCATGTGATAACAGTCTCGGATGATGACTCAGCACATGTTGTTCATTTTAAGCACACTTTCGCTGCAGATTTGACAAAATGCGAAGAAGGTACCAATGTGAGATTTCTAAAGATAGCTACAGCACTTGACCCAAGGTTTAAGAATCTGAAGTACCTTCCAGAATCTGAGAGGGATGAGGTGTGGAGCATGCTTTTAGAAGTCTTAACAGAGCAACACTCCGATGTGGAAGCTACAGAACCCGAACCACCAAAAAAGAAAATCAATCTTCTGCTGGTGGCATCTGACTCAGATGAAAATGAACATGCATCGGTCCTCACTGCTTTGGATTGTTATCGAGCAGAACCCATCAGCATGGACGCATGTCCTCTGGAATGGTGGTTGGAGCATATGAAGGAACATATGACTCTTTAGCACATCTGGCATGTAAATATCTTGCAACGCTGGCTACAACAATGCCACGAGAACACCTGTTCTCACTTTCAGCTGACATTGTAAACCAAAAGCATGCAGCATTATCTCCTGCAAATGTATACAAACTTGTTTGTCTGAGTGATTGGCTGAACAAGAAATAGGATTGAGTGGACTTGTAGTCTCTAAAGTTTTGCATTGTTTTATTTTTGAATGCAGGTTTTTTTTGTACATAATTCTACATTTGTAAGTTCAAATTTCATGATAAAGAGATTGCATGACAGCACTTATATTAGTTGAATTGAAAAATACTATTTTCTTTGCTTTTTACAGTGCAAATATTTGTAATAAAAAGAAATATAAAGTGAGCACTGTACACTTTGTATTCTGTGTTATAATTGAAATCTATATATTTGAAACTGTAGAAAACATCCAAAAATATTTAAATAAATGGTATTCTATTATTGTTTAACAGTGCAATTAATTGCAATTAATTTTTTTAATCACTTGACAGTCCTAATAACTACTATGAGGAAAAATGGTCTTTTGATGTAAGAACAGGGCTGAAAGTAAGGCGATCTGTGTTCTGTTCATAGTCTTCCACAAACTCACAGTGTAGCCTTGTGAAAGTCAAATCATTTTTGTGACTCAGTTTCCCCTTCTGCAAAATGAGATAATCGTAGTTCACATGGGTGCTGAGACTTAATATTTGTAAAAAAAACTTTGAGATTCTTGGCTATAGAAATACAAAATACTAATTATTTAAGCACCAGCTGTATATTGGTGTTGTATATGAAGACAAAGAGAAAGATACGGTCCTTTGCGTCAAGGAGCTTATAATCTAATTAGTAGGGCCCTACCAAATTCATGGTCTGTTTTGGTCAATTTCACCACCGGGGGTAAAATTACTCAGTTTCATGTTTACATCTGAAATTTTACACTGTTGTAACTGTGGTGGTACTGACCCAAAAGGCGGTCAGGGTGCAAGGGTCGCAAGGCTATTGTAGGTGGGTTATGGGATTGCCACCCTACTTTTGCCATGTTACTGGCAGGGGGGCTGCCTTCAGAGCTGGACAATCAGAGAGGAAGGCTGCTGGCTGGGCGCCCAGCTCTAAAGCCAGTGCAAGCAGCAGCGCAGAAGTGAGGGTCACACAGGGTATGTGGGGTGGGTTACCATAGGTCTGGTTTTCCTGGCAGTCTCCTGCCTGAGTGGTTGGGAGGTGACATCTGGAGCCACAGCCTCTCTGTGCAGAGAGGTGATAGCTGCAGCTGGAGCTGCAGCCTCTCCACGCAGGGGATGACAGCTGGAGCCGCAGCCTCTCTGCACAGGGGGGGTGTGACAGTTGCAGCCGCAGCCTCTCCACATGGGGAGGTGACAGCTCAAGCTGCAGCCTCTCTGCA